GAATAATTACGAGAATAAATACTGAGTGCCGTGGTATATCGCGAAAAGTATTTCACGACACGGGTACGGTATACCTACGCGTCGACGACGACGACGATGTGCACCCGGCTGGGGGATATTCGCGGGATCAACCAGGCGCATTCCAGGCGCCCGAGCGGGTGTTTCCCGAGCGTCCGTGATGGCCGTTTCTTTGCATTCCTTTTCTTCGCCTCGCACACAGGTCGCAACGAGACGGAGGCCCGGAGGTGCGCGAGGCACCGGATCCGGAGTTTCGTCGTCCTTCCCACGCGACGCGACCACCCGGCCGACGCGACGGAATCTTTCTTTCTTTCTCTCCGCTGTTAGGAATTCCTCTTCGATTTATCGTGCATCACGGTGGAGCGGCGCGTCTGTTTATTCAGCGAGATTACACGAGATCCTGTCGAGGACCGCGGCCAAGCCTATATACATATAGCGCTGCTACTGAATCTGCCTCGCTATACCAATTAGTAGCGAATTGCTATACTTGCGAACACTCTTGGAATATACGAACGATTAGACGGAGATTGAAAGAGAGCGTTGCGATTAGTTTCAGGCATATCGCGCTATTAGTATATATGTAGAGAGCAGCTAATACAGCGCAGCGGAATACACAATTTATTTTTCAAACTAAAAAATCGCCATGGGAAAGCGCGATCGGCTGTAGGAAATTTAAGAGAACGTTTCCAAGCTCGGTTACGAAACACGCGAAGTAGTTATTATAGAATATCGTGGCAAGGTGGAGCTGAAGATTCGCGAAAAGTCACGGCGGGAGCACGTACGCACGTTCGAGCAACAAAAAAAACGTGAATACATACCGCGCCTAACAGCGAGGAGGGGAGGGGGAGGGCGCGGAGGTAATCGGAAGAACGAGGTGGAGGCTTAGATAGCAGCGCGTAATAAAAAAACGAGGAGAGGCAGAGAGAAGGAGGGGAGGAGAGAGAAAGAAAGGAGAATTTCTCTCTTTTGAGATGGCGGATGAAGAGGAGGAGGAGGAAGAAACGAAGAAGAAGCCGGCTGAGATATATAGGTAGATACATACGCACGGATTCAAGGGAGCGCGCGAGCGCGGAGGACGAAGAGAGCGAGAGAGAGAAAGAGAGAGAGAGGAGAGCAAGAGAGAAGCATGAAAACGAGAAGGTAGGTGCCGGCGATATCGTGCCATTCGTGCCTTTCTTCCCTTTGCCACCTTGTTCGCCATGGCCGAACGCGGGGGGGAGCAGCGAAGGGTCCACACACAGTGTGTGTGCGATCTCGTCGTCGTCGTCGTCGGCGGCGGCGGCGGCGGCGGCGGCGGCGACGGTGGCAGCGGGGAACGCGGAGCGGCAGGGGGTAACCCGAGGCATCGAGAGGGGACTTGGCGACAGACTGGCGGGCGCGCACCTGCACTCGGCTCGGCCGCGAGAGAGCCGGCAGTCCAGGGGCGCACCTACCGGGCGCAGACTCCGCTCTTCGGGGGGGAAACGACGACGACGACGACGACCACGACGACGATGAGCGGAGAGAGAGATACAAATCACGCCGCGCGCCGCACAGCCGGTGCATTTCTCTCGTACTCCGCGCTTATCTCCCGCACTGGCGCACGGCCCGTTCCACTTTCAGTGCCCGCCCGGTCTTATTTTCCATTTATTCTTTTTATCCCGCGTTCCACCGCTTCTTCTCTTTTATCGTTTCCTCCGTGCGAAAACGCGCCCGTTCCCCACGCATGCAGCGTCTCGATATATTCTCGCGCGCGGTTACGATCTCACGTTGGCGCAGGCTGCTTGAAAACGTCGCAGCTTTCGTGTACGAATATCGTTATTATTTAATTCGAAATAATGGGCTCGTCGTGTAGAGTGCCTTGTACAAATTCGATCTCTCATTTCTCGATAACGAATTTGTTTTATTTCACTTTTTTTGTCTTTGAAGAACAAAGATTTTGCTGAAATACCTAAAAATTTATAGCTATATATAGGTACAGATACAGATCTGAAAATAATCATTGCTCGACCATTCGAAATAATTATGTAGGACGTTCGAGCATGCGATGATAACGCAGCAAAAAGCCCTAACAACCAGTTTGAGCGCCCCACATAATTACTTGGATGGTCTAACGTAATTATTTTCAGATCTGTATCGCGAGCTAAAATCTTTGGATACTTCAGCAAAATCGTATATACCTACTCTTTCCGTGCAAAGTCTCCTTTCTGGAGATCTTCCTTTCTAGACGCCGTCAATCGCCAGGTAATTGGAGGAGGCCCGAGCGCATGGATGGAGCGATAAAGCGAGCCCAGCTTCGGCATGCGAGGCTCATGAATATGGATCGGGAAAGTAATCGCGAAATGAGATACAAGACGGTCCGCGATAGGTATACACATTTGCCGCTGCGCGTGCGATTCACGGGCTTACAGAAGTCCGCGGTGCAATTACGAATGTACGTATGTATGTATGTACATACGTACGGGTTTATCCCTGGGCGCATAATGATTCCGCGGGCGTGCAACGATCCCGAGAGAGCCAGAGCCCGGCCCGGGCAGCGCAACGGGAATACATATGTATATATACCTTCGCTTTCGACTTTTGTCTGCGCTTATTGCGGCGAAGTCGCTCGTTCTCTCGCGCGTAACGGCGCGCTTCCCGTTTCGCGCGTTTGACCTTTTCGCGCACGGCGCGGTTATTTATAAGATCCCGCGCGCGCGCGCTACGACCGTGATTTTAACGCGCGAGGTCGTTATGCAAATCGTATAAGGCCCTTTCAGTTTATCGCGTTCGTTAAATATCGGATTTTACACGCTCACGGTAGCGCCGTCGCGGCCGTCGATTAACCGGCGCGACTTTATCCTCCCACGTGTTTATCGCGTCGTCGGCCAAGGAGATGAAGCAAGTTGAAACGTCAAAGCTTAGGATCTCTATTGGAATCCTATTCAAAGTAATTACATTTTGTAACGTTGACGATTTTACAATTCTATATTTGCTCGAAAGTGTCTGTCGTGAAAGTAATAATTTACGGACATAATGCTCAATTTTAATTTGAATAAAGTATAATTAATAAGTAATAATAATAATAATAATAATTGATATTTGAATACAATAATTATAAATTTATATAATAATTAATAATGATTTAAATGTTTGATTAAAATGGGAACTGTCATTTACGACACACTAATTTCGTATTGATGCATCGATTTGAGTTTGCGAAACGATTAGTTATCCATTGTGAAATTAGTTAATTATTACAGTGCACAGACGCTTGCAGCAACATTGTAGCAAGATTACAATATTTATACAAAGTTGTATTAATATTGTAACGTTGTTGTAATATTGTTGCAAGCTTCTGTGGGAAACTCTGCAGAATGCAAGAGATATCTCGAGAGGGTCGGGAGGTGGGATCTCCTTTCGCAGCTCGAGGCGTGAAAATTGCATCGTAGAATGTAAAAGTGGCATAATAATCAATCGTCCATAACGCGTACGCGTGTCAGGATTTATAAGGCGAAACGGGAAAGAGCGTGTGCGATAAATATATACGGTTTTACTCGCGCGGCTTAATTTATTGCCACATGTTGGAATTGTCACATGCGTTTAGATAAGGGCACGCTCTCGCCGCGAGATTCGTAAGAGCGATTAATTGTCGTTTCTGATATGCATATATTTGCGGGCCGACGTGGTGTGTCAAACGAGAAAAAGTCACAGCCAAAGAGAATTCGCATTATTCATGTTTTCCTAAAGTTCGTCATTAGATATAAAATATATTTTTGTAATAATAACGTTAATCGTGTTATAAGCCAGCGTATATTTCATAAGTAAAAAAAATCTATTGTAATATCCTGGCAAAAATTCGCGAAAAATAGTAACGAAAAAAAAAAAAAGATATTTTACACGCTGCATCATCCGAGGGAACGCGGTCATTCGCGGATTAATCGACGAGTTGGTAAACACATTGCGTTGCAATGTACGTGTGTACCGTGTGTTGCTCTGTCGAGGTGAATTTCGCGATATCGAAAACACTTCTCGCTTGATAATCGCTTAATCACCCGTCGACGAGTGCGCGGAAAAAGTGGGAGAGCGCAAACGGCACGGTAGATATTGGATCGTGATGCAGCATTTGTTCGAGCGACATTTTACGTTGTAGATAACGTGTGTTAATTTTCGAACGACACTACAGTTTTCGGGTGCTAAAATCGGTTTCACGATCACATTCGCGATTCGTTAATCTAACTGTACAAGAGGGCTGTTCAATTTTAACATTAGGATGACAACCTAACGTCTCTTGAGATATTTAAGGAGAAATAAAGTATAGCAAGAGAAAAAGAGAGAAAAAAATTAAAGAATATGATGTGTATATATATTATAAAACGCATTCTATTGAATTTGTTGTGGGATAATAAAATAATTATCTATATTAAAGTAACAAAACAATATTCTAGATATTTAGGTGTAAAAAATATGAAACACGATTTAAAAAAAAATTGTTAACGTTAACTTCTTGTTTCTGTGAATTTTGTTCTGTAGATTTTTAAAAATAAAATTTATCTTTTTCACAATCGAGCGATGGCAACATATCGAGATAATAAAATAGGATTAGAAGATTCGGTGATAATATCGATGAATCGATCGTGAGTCTTGCTTATAAGTCGATAACACTATCTGAACACAATATACGTATCTGAGATGTACTTACTTTACTATAAATTCGTGTCAGTACGTTTTATATGTATCGCAAAAAATTGTAACAGATACGGCTATTAATCATGAAAAATAATTTTAAAAATTAAAATTTATAATTTTTTAAATTACTAAACTTGTAAAATTGTAAATCGCAATGACTTGCAAACTTTTTGTATTCTTTGCTGACACATGTTATTCAATTTGTTTAAGTACCATGTACTGAATTTCTTAATTCCGCGCGCGCGCAAGAGAGAGAAAGAGAGAGAGAGAGAGAGAGAGAGAGAGAATATGTTTGTTAAATACCGCTGTGTAGTGGGGTATAAGCATGTACGTACAAAAGTGTGTTGATGATTGCACAGGTCCGGGTGGGAAGGATCGTTTCGTCTTTGGAACACGTGTGTTCTTATCAACGGTCATTTTTCTCGCGAGTTACGATAACGGTTTTGCGAAGCGTAATTTCTGTCCGACGGCAGTCTCACGGCCTTCGACGGTCTGCCTTCGTTATTTTTACGGGTCTCCTCGCAAGATACCTGCAATATACGCCACATAAATTTTGAGACTTACAATCTGTTATCAATTGATCCGCAGCTTATTTAGATTCTAGCAAGATGGAAATTAACGTTATTCAACTGTAATATAGATTTTGTACGAATAGCTAAATTTGATAACAAATTAAATTATTCAGGTATATATATATTTTGTTAATATCAATTTTATATTTCAAAGCTATAACAATTATATTTGTTTCTCAATATTGTTTGTATCGTCGATTCAAAATAGTAGTTAGACTAGATAAAAAATTATGATTCCAATTATAACTTTAAGTAATATTAGATGTAACGAAATAATATGCAACGAAATTATGTCAGCTAGTTGAATATAAATAAATAATAGTTGAAATAAATGTCGAATAAATTAAATTAGTTAACTATTATTTCTCCACGGATCGTCTATTTTTAATCGTCGATTGGTTCTCTAATAGTTGAGAGAGATAAAAGATCTACACATCTCATCGGTACTGTTTACAGTTTTTTACTCCCGACTGCTGCCAACCAAAGATTGGCACAACAGAGGGAGTATGCGTTTTTCTTCCTTTCTATATGCTATCTCCTCTACAATCACATATCAGAATGGATTATGTGACGCGTGTATGTACATACATACATATGAATGTCTGCAAGCTCAGGTCTATAAAGCTTGTCGAGTCTAAACGATCGAGCAGAGTCAGTCATCTCCAGTCATCTCTCTCTGCATTTCTACAGGGACTGCAGGAATTACGTTACAGCCTACGGGATCGGTGCTGACGGAAGTGACGGTGCTACGCTACTCGCGCGAAGTGCGAACGAACAGATCGCGACATCTTGCGTAGACATCGATTACTAACTCGGCAAGAATTTGAAAGGCGTCACAACGCGGGTATTCCAGAGATCGCGCGATTAGTTATGACAATTTCATCACGTATAATTTATGTTTTAATTTGCGTACAAAAAATATATTTAAAATTACACTACCATTTTACATTACGTTTATTGTTAAAACTCGCTTCGTCGAAATAAATGTGATAAATTAAGTACATTGTCGTTTGTATCGTTGATTCTTTCAATTTTCTGCGTTAATTAATTTCTTCGCAATAGCGGATTTTTTTTTATTTTAGAGTGCGTTTTCGTACGGCGAAACACATGTCTATGCTCGGTTATTAATACGCCCCGCGAAAATAACAAATGCGCGATGCAATCTCAATATGCTAATCTTCGGCGATTCGCGGCATGTGTCAAAATTCCCTTACCGATCCTTTCACCTCGTTTCGCGTAACCGCAGGACTATCCGTCGAAATTTCTTTTGCAATGTTGAGTTACACGATTGCAACATGATCCCGATTGCGAAGCCCGAGCTCAGGATACTAGATAAAAATAAATTACACGTATCGCGAAGACCAGGATGCGTCGCGTGGCTGTTGCTCGGCCGTAAGAGAGATGATTTATTGAATTATTATTATGCCTTCAAAATTCAGTTTAGCGCGTAAAATATTTCTCACCTTCAATCAACAGTTCGATTAAAATGTACACAGCGCAATTTCTTAAAGTTCACATTTCGCGCGAAGAATCAGTGCCATAAATAGATGGTTGCGATAAATCATAATTTTCATATATATATCTTCTATTTTAATCGATATTCTTAAAGCCACTGAATCAGAAATGTATGTAGGCGCATCTATACATTTTCTAACTATATTTTTATTCTCAAATACCTATTTATTGCACACGAAACGGACTACGTTTTTTTCAGTGTCGGCGCTAATCTTCATCGGAATATTCAGCCGACTGACGAGCAACGTGTACCTACTGATCATCCTGCTTCTGGGCGAGATCATGTTCGGATTGGACAGTCTTGGGGAATGGGAGGACCTGATCTTGTACAAGAACGAGAACAAAGCTGTCGTCGAGAGGTCCGTTTGGAGTGACAAGCTGTGCTTGGGTAGCTCGGGCGAGCTATCCTTGATGAGACTCACCGATATCCGGCACGTCGGTGTCACCACCAGGATGAGCCTCTTTATCCTCCACAGGAACGGGCAGACGGTCACTTTCAGTATGAGGGGCTTGACGAGGAAGGAGATACAAGGCTTGAGGAGAGAAATCAGCCATTTCTTGAACATGAGCCGGCTCAAGTATCTCGATCACTCTCTGGTCGACCCCGCGGACCGACTATTGCTCTCTTCCGATTCCGAGGAATACCTGCCGAGAGCGTCTTGTCTACCCGCGTCCAACGAGTTCACCGTCTCGGACAACGTTCTGGGCGGCACGCTGGGCAGGACGTGCTACCACGTGCAGCAGAATTTGAGTTACCCGAGTTTCATACGTGGAACGCAACTCAACTGCTGCCAATTGGCGAACTTAAGACGGGGCCCTTACACGGAAAACTCGACGCGTTTCAATTATGTCAGGTGTACTGGGAACATCTGTGCCACTCCCATACCTCGCAATTTGTGCAAGCTTCGTAAAGAACGTAATTAATCGAGAGTGTACCATTCGTCTGTGTGTCGTACGTGTTCTTGAGATTACCCCGACATTGTAACTGCGATTCGCGATTTAAGACAAATTTGTGTAGCAAAGCAAGATATTTTATCCTATGTAATAAACAATTTATTACTAAGTAACAATAATTTGAAAGCATCACAAAGAGGATACTTCAAATCTTAATTCATCGCTAATTATCAAGAATCTGAATAACGTATATTATATTACTATATAATAGTATTAGAACAATCACGAGTCTCTATCGACTTTTATAACAATTAAATAAATTCTTTCACAAACCAGTTCATTGGACGAGTTGCTTACAAGCGTTTTCGATGTCCGGGTGTTGATATTGAAATCCTAGCTCTGTAACACGCTTTGGTGTAACTTTTTGCCCCTCCAACATCATCTGAAGCAAAAAAACATCAAGTATTAAATTAGAATAAAATTTTAAACTATATATCGGGAGCTTGTTAAAATGATGATAAATTCACCTTTGCTCGTTCTTTACTGAATAATATTTCTAAAAGGAAGCTTGGAAGAGGTATGACCGCGGGTCTGTTCATTGCCGCCGCAAACGCCTTCGTAAACTCCTTGTTTGTTATAAGCTATTAACGGAATGTTATATAATTAATTATATCTTTATTGAGGAATAATATAAAATCGTTTGTATTATACCTGGGGCGCCACTCCGTTCAATACACCATGCACATTGCTATTTTTGAGCGCAAATATAAACATGCAAACTAAGTCGGTGATGTGTATCCAGGGCATGTATTGACTGCCGCTCCCAATCGGTCCACCGAGGCCGAAGAAGAACGGTAGATAGATTTGCTTGACCATACCGCCGTTTCTTCCCAGCACCACTCCGGATCTTATCGTCACTTGTCTGATGTTGCTATCTTTCGGCAGTCTCGCCGCGTCCTCCCAATCGTGACAAAGTCCTGGAACAGAAGAAATCAAAAATTGAATTTACAGATAGGAATATTAAGGGTGCGTTCTATTTAACGCTCGCAATGCTCTTGAAATCATTTCATCTTTGCTGTTTATCAATCATTAAACAAGGACAAGTAATGTTTGCGAGCGTTGCGAGCGTTAAATGGAACGCAGCCTAAACATCACGTTACGCGTGAAAACATTAAGTATATATACTTGACAGAAAGTCGTACGACTCGCATTTGCTCTCTTCCGTGTACACGGTGCCGTCGGGCTTGTAATACGCGACTCCTGATATAGTTGCGAAAACTGTAGCTTTGGTACTCTGTATAGAGTCCGCCAGAGCCTTCGTCGTCATCACCCTGCTGTTCCTGACGTTCTGCTTGAAGCCGGGCGACCACCTCTGCTTGGGATCCAGCACGTTCTGCCCGGCGACGTTGATGACGGCCGACGTGTTCTCCGGCAGGCCGTAGCGCTCTAAATCATTCTACAGATTTTACAACAGCTGTCATTGGGACCGATTGTCTTACCGACAAGTCTAAGCGTGTAAATTCGTTCTTATCCCTACCCATGACATTCTGCTTGGCCCCGGCATTCGAGAGATACACGTACAGGAGACGCCCTCGAGGCTCAGCGATTTTATCAGCTGCGATCCTATGAAGCCGGTACCGCCGCCTGAAAATATTACGCAATCTATTTATTCGCGTGACATAACTCGATTGTAATTTTTACGCGCTATTGCTATTGAATTGTGTAACAAATGGATTCGCGAGAGCGTGCTCACCTATCACTACGTGCTTCAGAGCCATGTTCGCGAACAGCAAAGTCGCGCTTTCGCGTCTTGGTTATTTTAAGAATAAATTTCTCAAGGCTTCGCCGGTTGCGACACACACGACTGCGAACGGCGCGAAAGAGAGAAAGAGATAAGACACCGCAGTTTGAATTGTTACAACAATAGACTCTTTGGAACGACAGGCATATTAGGATATACGTCTGTATGTGTTTACATGATGAAAAGTGAAATGTAAACCATAATTTTTCTATTGTTGAAATATATGCTGTTAAACTCGTAAATATAACAATTCCTTTCACGTAATTTTTCCATACGGCGCATTATTCTATGTTGAATTTCTTCGGTTTCGCCTGAAATTTGTCCGTAACCGCAATTACGACTGCAGTCATAATAACGATCCACGGTGCGAAAAACTGTGAACGATAATGGTCCGAAATTGTTGATCGGAAAATTCACACATGTTCACAGACCATGGAACGCGCAGATTTAAATAGATAGATTGCACGCACTCTTCCGGCCACTTCCGTCCGAAAATGTGAAGACAGGCACACTTGCGCAGTGGCGTCACACGTCGCGCCAATTGGACAATTCGACGGAGGGCACCTTCCGATTGGTGGACGAACTCCACTCGCGCTCATTTGGACGCGTTCTTTCGCGCGCGTCCGCGGGCGAGTCTCGCGAGGGTCTCGTATCCCGCGACTGAGTCCAGTAGTCACCGCGGAGGAAATCCAATATGGTGTCCGTCGTTCAGCGGTTTACTTCGGATGTCCGTATTTCGGGATAGAATCGTCGTCCGGCGACCGCGTGCCTAGCAACAATTATGAAAATTCGATTGAAAGCGCCGGGCCGCACGTGAAAGAACTCTCATGCCACTGTGTCTCGCGTGCGTTCGACAGCCGTGAAGGGATCCTCCAGGTGCCTCGAGGAGACAGGAGAGCGGCCCCGAGGCGCGCGCTCTCTCTCTCTCCCGCCTGTTAAATCCTCTGCCTCGGAGGCGCGGAGAGAGAATTTCGGAGGGATAGAAAGGGAGGCGGCGAAAAGGAGAAATTGGGGAGAAAAATGAATAGCGACAAGATGGAGGTTGGCGCGGAAGTGAGCGACCCGGAGGCGGCTGGCAAGATCAGGGCGAAGAAACGGGACTCGATAGCGGACGTCACGACCTTAGATATAAAGTCACGTCTCAGTTTGGAGACGACGGAGGCGGCTCGCGGCGAGCCGCACGTCAACGGGGTGGCACAGGTGAACGGTATCTGCGACTCCCCGCAAAGAACTGCCGCCGTCACCGATCTCTCCCCGCAATCTAAAACAATGGAAACTAGTCATTTAAACCAACATGGTATATACAACGCCTCGCTTCGCTCGCCGTGCAGTAAACGCGATAGACAAACTCTCAATTTATGTACATAATAATGTAAAGTAGACCATCTCATTATCATTCATCTATTCTTGTAAAATCCTTGCTGATCTTACAAGTGATGGAGTACATTTTGTCGACGGGAGACATCCAGTCAGATGCTATTTTAAACTGTTTCTTTGACATCTGAAAGTTTTTATAAATCAAGCAAACTGTAACTCAAAATTGAGATACTGTTTATCGTGTTTAGAAAAAACAATCCCGTTCGATTAGAATGAGATTCTTATGTACTGTACAAAACCTGTGTATACAATGCTGGGAACGGATGAAAACGTCTGCTTCTTGTTATGTTACAGAACAAGCAGGAACATTATCCATGGAAAGTAAAGACAACGATATCCAATATGTTAGCTATACAAGTGAATTACAAATGCCTGATATTATGAAATTAATACAGAAGGACCTAAGTGAACCGTATTCTATTTACACGTATAGATATTTTATTCATAATTGGCCGAAATTATGCTTCCTGGTACGTGCTCTCTAGAAAATCTCTTGTCTCATTTAAGTTAATACATGTGATATGAGTGTTCTTACAATTGATAAACATTGCAGTTTCTGTATATTTTATTATGGAGCATTTAAAATTGGAGCATTGATATTGTTTTAAGAGTTTCACAAAAAAAATGTATGAAAGAATTACATAAAATGTCAATTTGACTCTCCTCTCGACTCTCAGACGTAGAATTTACAGTAAGCTCTATGTTCTTTTGTTCGTCAAGGCAATGCACGGTGAGGAGTGCGTCGGTGCCATTGTCTGCAAACTAGACATCCACAGGAAGGTGATAAAGCGCGGGTATATCGCGATGCTGGCGGTCGATGTAAAATATCGGAAACGGAAGATCGGGTCGAATCTGGTGAGGCAGGCGATCCAAGCGATGGTGGAGGACGACGCTGACGAGGTGGTGTTGGAGACGGAGATCACTAACAGGCCGGCGCTGCGCCTGTATGAGAATCTTGGATTTGTGCGGGATAAACGCTTATTTCGATATTACTTAAACGGCGTGGATGCGTTGCGACTGAAATTATGGCTCAGGTGAAATTCATCCGCGTGCTTATGTCAATAGGTATTTAAATAATTGCTAAATGTTGAGGAGAGAGATGTAACATCTATGCTCTACTACATCAGGCAAACGGACGACATTAATGTCAAAGAGATTATTACGTTTCTACGTGCACAAATGTGTTTCTTTTCGCGGTTGCAATTTATCCTCCGCGATTTATCCTCCGTACTTTCTCGGAGAGAATCGGCTTATTTAATTTTTTATGAAAAGTGTATCGCGACGGATAGACTCTGTATTGCAACCAAACTATTTCTGCTTGTGTCTCGGAAACAATTTATTCTTCACAGACTTATTTTCCATGTTGTGAGATGAGAATGCAATGAGATCTCTAACAGCCTATTGACAGTACGTCCGTTAAGGGCGGAATGTATGTACAGAGTAATTTGTTAATAGTGCCTAACTGTTGCCTGACTAGTTAGCTATTTTGTTATGAATTTGCTGCAATTCCTTTGATATTAATGTCAGTGATCGGGATAGATTTCAATTGCAGCTTGAAGATATAAAAAATAATGAGTGATAACCAGTGACAAAATCGAAACTATAAAAAGTACTGAAAATAATCAGTGTATCTTGCTGGGGCTCACATTGATAAAGTACGCGTGTACAAGAAGCATACTACTGATCTGACAAAGTTTATGAGTTTCATGTCGTTACAATTATGATTTTATTTCTTTTTTTTTTTTGTATAATTAAACATATACAAGGGAAACATTTTGTCACAAATGGGTATAATTAACTGCATATATTTAATATATATATATATATATATATATATATATATATATATATATATATATATAT